ATCATTTTATGTTGTTACTTTGAAGTGAGAACAACAAATTGATGTTCTTACCTTTTATTGTTAGACGGTTAGTTGTTACTTTGAAGTTTGAAGTGTGAAGTGAATAACAATTGTTACTTTATCATATTCTCTCTTTATTTTTGTTGACACCGAAAAACCGATTTTAAAACACCGAACTAAACCGAGCCGAACCGATCTAGTTTGGTTTGAAATATGGTGTACACTTTTCTAAAACCGAATATCGAAGAACTGAACCGAAATTTGATTAAACCGAACTGAAGAACCGAACGCCCACCCCTTTTGTTAACACTTGCTTATGACTCAAGTATGCTAAATTCCACTTTGATTGTTAAGGAAATAATACATTATACAGAGCCATATAAAACTAAACAAAACACATGAGCACAGACTAACAAACTAAAGTTTTGAGTGATAAAATCTTCATTGATATAAAGTTTAGATTCTTATCAAATTCTTCTCTTTCCCCTCCATTGTCCCTCCAAAAAAGGAAAAAAGTAATATAAAATACTACTATTAAAAGAAAAAGATATATATATTTCAATCTTATAACTTTTGAAAGTGCAAGATGGCTTTTTCCCCAGGCTACTAATTTAGATATGGATTTTCTCTCATGACAACTTGTCATTCTCTTTTCTTGCTTCTATCTGCTCTTGTTTCTTCATCTTCATCTACATCTTCAACGTCTGTATGCGTATATTCCTCAGAAGTAAATGATGATGATGATGATGAGTGGTGTAAGTTGTAGGCATATTTTGATTCTTGGAATTGTAGCCTTAGTGTTCATAACAATGGGACACCGAAAAACCGATTTTAAAACACCGAACTAAACCGAGCCGAACCGATCTAGTTTGGTTTGAAATATGGTGTACACTTTTCTAAAACCGAATATCGAAGAACTGAACCGAAATTTGATTAAACCGAACTGAAGAACCGAACGCCCACCCCTTTTGTTAACACTTGCTTATGACTCAAGTATGCTAAATTCCACTTTGATTGTTAAGGAAATAATACATTATACAGAGCCATATAAAACTAAACAAAACACATGAGCACAGACTAACAAACTAAAGTTTTGAGTGATAAAATCTTCATTGATATAAAGTTTAGATTCTTATCAAATTCTTCTCTTTCCCCTCCATTGTCCCTCCAAAAAAGGAAAAAAGTAATATAAAATACTACTATTAAAAGAAAAAGATATATATATTTCAATCTTATAACTTTTGAAAGTGCAAGATGGCTTTTTCCCCAGGCTACTAATTTAGATATGGATTTTCTCTCATGACAACTTGTCATTCTCTTTTCTTGCTTCTATCTGCTCTTGTTTCTTCATCTTCATCTACATCTTCAACGTCTGTATGCGTATATTCCTCAGAAGTAAATGATGATGATGATGATGAGTGGTGTAAGTTGTAGGCATATTTTGATTCTTGGAATTGTAGCCTTAGTGTTCATAACAATGGCGTGGAGATGTTCGAGTGTTGGAGTGAACTGGGGTACTATGGCATCTCATCAGTTGGCAGCAGAGAGTGTAGTGAAGATGCTTAAAGAAAATGGATTTGACAAAGTAAAATTATTTGAAGCAGATGACAAGATTTTGAGTGCTTTAATAGGTAGTGATATTGAAGTGATGCTTGCAATTCCTAATTATATGTTACAAGATATGAGCACTAACCCTGAAATGGCAGCTTCTTGGATTGATGCCAATGTTTCTACTTATGCTTACACTCATGGAGTCAAAATCAGGTTAATTTAAGTCCAACATGTTTCACTTCTTGCATGGACATAAGTCAATTTTTTACTTTCTTTAAAACCCCTGGTTCACGTGAACCCATGGTCCCCTCTCAAGACTTGTCCTCTTCTTAGTTGTTTTCATCACGTGAACTTAAAAGTACAAAAATATGTTACTAATATTGTTTACTTAAAGAACAATTAATATTAAGGGTAAAATGGCGCTTGACTGGTTGTTCTGAAAAAACTTTATTATGACAACTGTAATGAGTTAAGGGAACACTACGTATAGTTTCACAATTTTTTTGTGACATATTTTTACATTTAGGGGCCAATTTATATGAATTAGGCAATTTTTTTTTGTTTTTTCGTGTGTGTTAGCTCATGAAAATTGACGCCTTATGGTGCACGGCCGGTTGTTCTGAAAAAAACTTTATGTCGAGTGAAATAGTAATATGAATGATGATTTACTTTTTGTAACCGTAAAAAAATATATAATCAAATTAAACATCTATCTTAAAGGTAGTGGTGCTTCCATCTTTTTAAATTCTAGATACGCCTATGCGTCCCCTCCCTTTCCACACACATACTAGGTGTTCATGATTTGGTTAAAAATTGATCCAAACCAAAAACCGAAATCAAACATTTATCTTAAAGATAATGGTACATCCATTTAAATTCTAGTTATGCCCCCGCCAACCAACTAAGCTACTGAGATTCCTCACGAATTATTCTTAATAATGCAGGTATGTAGCAGTAGGAAATGAGCCTTTTCTTCAAACATACAATGGAACTTATCTACATTCCACTTTTCCAGCTCTGCGAAATGTTCAAGAAGCCATCAACCATGCTGGATTAGGGCCAGAGGTGAAAGCAGTTGTTCCTTTAAACGCGGACATTTACTACTCCCCTGACTCGAATCCTGTCCCTTCAGCAGGCGATTTCAGGCCAGAAATACGCGATTTAGCCATTCAAATTGTTCAATATCTCGACTCAAATGATGCACCGTTTGTGGTTAACATTTACCCTTTCCTCAGTCTCTATGCAAACAATTACTTCCCATTTGAGTATGCCTTCTTTAATGGATCAAACAAGCCTATGAAAGATGGCGATAATCTTTATACTAACGTGTTTGATGCCAATTTCGATACTCTTGCTTGGTCTTTGAAGAAAGCTGGCTTTCCCAACATGAAAATCATAGTCGGAGAAGTAGGATGGCCTACAGATGGAAACAAATACGCGAATATTGAAAATGCAAAGAGATTTAACCAAGGGTTGGTTCAACATGCTTTAAGTGGAGAAGGAACCCCTGCAAGGAAGGGGAAAATCGACGTTTACTTGTTCAGCCTGATTGATGAGAATACTAAAAGCATTGCTCCTGGTAACTTTGAGAGGCATTGGGGAATATTTGAGTTTGATGGTCAGCCTAAATATGAGCTAGATTTATCTGAAAAGCCACTCGCTGCAGTAGAAGGCGTAACTTATATGCATAAAAAGTGGTGTGTACTAAAGCCACACTTACCAAAAGATGCACAAATTTACTTGGCAAAGAGTGTTGACTACGCGTGTAGTCGTTCTGATTGTACTGCATTGGGCTATGGTTCTTCTTGTAATCATCTGAGTGAACGAGGAAATACATCGTATGCTTTCAATATGTATTATCAATTCAATAACCAGAACAGTTTGGACTGTGATTTTCAAGGCTTGGCTATGGTAACTCATAACGATCCATCCAACGACAAGTGCCATTTCCCTCTCATGATTGCTGATGGTCGTAAAGTTATGTTGTTGCACAAGAACTTAGTGTATATTATACTGGCTGTTCTACAAGGATTTCTAGTAGTTTTGCTGCTTGTTTCTTAGACAGGTCATGATGATTTTGATGTAATTAACTAGTAGCACAATACAGGTATTTTTTACAGCATTCATATTTCTAACACAGCGAATATGACCCTTATCTTGACGTCAGCTGATAATTACGTTACTACTTCTTTTTGCATTTAGAGTAGACATTCCATGAGAGCTTGGAGTACCAAAAAAATTACTACAAAGGTGAAATAATTTGTTTTCTCCCTCAACTATGACTCAAATCTAATTAATGTACATCCTTATATTATCTAAGTGAGCAAAAAACATCCTTATACTATACAAAAAATAACAAGAATCATCCTTCAATCTATTTTTGTTAAGAAACTGATTGAACCAATAAAAAAAATTTAATTTGGTCATGTCTTTCCACGACGAGAAGATCAAAGTTACCTAAAAAGAATAAGGATATGGATAGGAAATGAATCTTTCATTCTTGGAATTTAAATTTTGCGTGTTGTCAGTTTATATGCTTTTCGCATCATCAAGTAAATTGACTTTCAACAACACATAAGTTTTGAAATATTTATAAAGTAGGTTCCGATGGTTAGAAATATTATGTAAAAAAATTATTTTAAAAGTATTACGTCCAACTATTTAGAGATTTTCTTTGATAAAATATTTAGGGCGCATGTACTATATATACAATGAATTCGCATTTTATTCAATGTACATAAATATTGGAAATTTAGTGAAATTACGTGGGCGTTTGGTTATGAAAATAAAATAAATAATTATTGTATTTGAAAAATTTGAAGTTGGAGTAGTATTTGGCCATATTTTTACAAGAATATTTAGAATTTGAATATATTTTGTCTGGATATGATTTAAATCCTCAATTTCTAAAAAAAAATAAAATCACTTGACTAGCTTAACCATGTGTACATATATTCATTCGACTTGACACATTTAATTTTTTGTTGGTGGCGTGAGTGTTTTAAAAAATATACAGAAGGATGAACCTTGCAACTTTTTGGATAGTTTAAGGATTTTTTTTGTTCACTTACATAACACAAGTATGTACTTTAAGTTTAGCTCATACTTATTTTAGCAAAAAACTCGACAATTGTATATCACATTCTATTAATATCTACAACAAGAGTTCTTGTTATGACATATCACACACCAAATAAATAGTCGAAATGAGACATATGTACTAAGAATATCGTCTATAAGGAAAACTCAGGTAACAGACTCGACTCGAGTATATATATAACTCATCTACTAACTACCATTACATGCCAATTGGCTAACAGACTAACTAACTCTATAAAATAAGAAGTAGACTTAGTTAGAAAAACGAATTTCAAAGTTGGAATCCACCATTTCCTTGTTTTCGCACCAAAGTCCTAGAAATTGGGGATTCGTTCAATCAGAGAAAAAAAATGGAACCGGAGCTTTTCGATGTTCCTATTAGTGTCTCAGACTCAAGGCTAAGTTTGAATTGTGATTGCAGACAAAGAAGAATCAATGAAGTTACAATTATGGATTTGCCGGCTGCGATTATGGTGGAAATACTCACAAAATTGCCAATCAAGATGATTTTCCGATGTAAGTTTGTTTGCAAACGTTGGTATAAGCTCAAAACTTCTGATCATTTATTTGTCAACATGTATGACGCCAGACCGCGTAAATTTCCTTGCATTTTCCTTTCAAAAAATTATTCTGTCCGTTATCTGCTTGAACTTGGAGCAGATTATGACTATACTACTCCAGTGGCGGCTCAAGCTAATTAGTGGCCTAAAGCCAAAAATAAATTGGATGCCTAAATTTTAATTATTTTTTTAGATTTGAGATTCAAGTTATTTCTTTCTTTTTAATGAAAAAAGTTTTATTTTTTATGATCTTAAACTAAAGATATATATTTATATATACCAAAATAATTTTTAATCTTGTGGTCTTAAACATATCACGTGGAAGTTAAATTTAAAAATTGATTCATAAAAAAAAACATTCTTTAATGTTTCGAAACAAACATAAAAAAGACAAATAAATTAAAAAATATATTATATATTTTTTTGTTTAAAAATGTTTATAATAATTTTATTATTACTAAAAAATTAGGCCCTTCGATTTTTGGGGCCTAAGGCATATGCCTCATTTTTGAAGGCATTGAGCCCAGCCCTGTACTTCTCAATGAATAAACAGACCTATTATCTTGGACCGTAATTTACACCTTCCTCATCCCGTTGATTTGGTTTCTGAGGATAAAGCAAACTTGACATTAATTGGTTCTTGTAATGGACTCATTTGTTTGTTGAATGGTGAAACGCATGTGGTAAATCATTCGGTTTGGGTGAGTATTTCAAGGTTAAATTGCCTGAATGGGAGAAAAGAATTCGTCATATTCATTATGGATTTTGCTTTAGTGAGGCCTCTGGACAGTATAAAGTATTGAGATTAGTAAATAGGAAGTTTCGGGGTCGTCCAGACGTATCTGAATTGGAGGTTTATACTCTTGGAGTTGATGAGAAAAATTGGAGGAATGTGGGCAAAGCTCCAAAACCTGTACGGGGAACGCTTAGCGATGCTAATGTCAATGGTACTATTCATTGGCTGGATGGTGAAGATCTTCCAAAAAGGGTCAGTATTTACTCCTTTAATATCGCGACAGAAGAAGTGAAGTCTCTGCCAGCTCCATCTGGTTTAAAATCTCCATCCTTGCACTTGATGCTAGCGGAGTTGGGAAATTGTCTATGTTTGTCTGTTAGTAGATCTTTTCATTATATGGATATATGGTGGATGAAAGAGTATGGGATAGCTGGATCTTGGACTAGAGATCGCATTTCAGTTACTCTGCCTGGTATCGCTGGTCGTCACATATTAATACCAATCATAATTTGGAAAGATGGGGAAATCTTGATGCAAAGCGAACGTGGCACACACCTAGTTTCTTACAACCCAAAAGAGGAGATGCTTAAGAAGGTGGTCAATGTGTATGGTAGTGGCACTGAAGCGACTAGATACATTCCAAGCTTTTACTCGCTCAAGACTGTCATGGGGGACAATTTTCAAGTCTCAAATGCTTATCGGAAGACTCAGATAGTTTAGAGCATTTCTTTTGTCTTACTCCCTCCGGGATATGATGTTTTGCTGCTGTGTTTCTGATAAATTCAGTTTAAACCCTGTTAGCTTTTACTGTTTTCGTGGATGCTTTTGAATTCTAGTAGACAACACCTCTGCTTCTTTAACTATATGTTGTCCATTTTAACATCTCAAAGTTACTTGCATTGCTCAGTCTCCAAAGCTGCATTTCTTTTATTCATTTCATTCATCAGCATCTGAATAGAACGAACTATGAAGGAACAAAATGTTGGTCTATCAGTCAGGCATATTTATTTTGGAAGTGCATAAAAGATAATTTGTCGAACTTGTTTGGGGTAAACAGTGCATGAACTTCTTTGGGTAAAGTTAACGGAATGCATCAATTGGGAGTAACTTTCACCCTGTTTTTTTCTTGTTGTATTTCCCTAAATTGGTGATTTTCTTGAGCAACTAGATGTATTTCAAGTTTTTACTTGCTCAAGACTGTCATAACTTCTTTAAGGAATTAAGGTCTCAAATATTTATTTGAAGGCTCAGATAGTTTAGAGTATTTCTTTTGTCTTAACTTCCTCCATTTTGTACCATATTTTTTTTCCAAGGCCATAACTCACTGGTGTTACTAAAATCCAGCATGAAAATATACTCTTGGAGTGACCCTTCCAACTGATAGAGTTTATTTTGTTGTCGTCTTAATATTTTAGGAAGAGAGCTAGCTACTACTTAAATCGCTCCATAACATGATGAATGGAGTGGAGACCACTATCGTTATTTTGATTTGATCATTTTCTATGTTAGGCTACCCCTCTTTGTGCTATCAATTTAAGATCTACTTGTTTTTACTGATTCATGCAAGTTCATTCTCTCGTACTTCCATTATGTCTTTTTCTAGGTTGTTTTTGTCTTGAGTCGGGGTCTATGAGAAATAGGCTTATGCTCTACCCTTTCCAAACACCATTGTGTGCGACTACATTGGGTATGTTGCTGTTGCAAGTTTCATACTTCTTTCATATTGTAAGAGATGATTTTGATGTTAACCATTAGGTATATCGCCTAGTGGTATATAAGCTAAAAGAAATCCATTATTTTTGGCCAAAAATATGGAAGCTTTTTTTTCCAGAATAAACATCAATTGCATCTAAAGAAGAAACTAAAGGGAATCACACTTGCCAAATAGGAACTTTATTTATCTTGTAAAGCCAAATTCATTGCAACATTCAGGGAATAATCTAAGTATATAGAGAGACCAGCATATTCCTCTTCCCCTGTCTTCTAATGAGCGACATGTTTAAGTGTACGTTTATGAGTAAACTTTGGTGCTGCCTTTGGAGCCAAGCGTGTCTTAGTGATAATCTTTCCTGTTGGATTGCGAAGAATATTTGGTTTTGTAACTCTAGATTTGTGTGGTAAATGTATGTTAGGAGAGAACTTTCTTGTTGATTTGGGTGTAACTTTGGGATTCACCTTTTGTTTATAAGTGGTTGAAGCTATCTTTGGAGAAACATGAGATCCAACTTTAGGTCTAACTAGGAAATGTTTATACACATGGTTTCTAGTTGGCTTTGGTGATGATTTTGGAGAAAGATTTTGTTTACTTTTTGGGATTTTAGGAGTCAAATATGTTGGAAGATATTTACTAGATATAGGAGATTTTTTTGTCACTTTAGTGGTTGAATGAGGAATTGGCTTTGAAGAAAACACATGAGAATGAGGAGCCAAGATTGAGTTAGATGTGTGTTTTTCAATTGGTTTTGGAGAAAGATTCTGTTTAATTGAGCTCTTAGGAGCTAACCGACCCCAACTTAGTTGTGACTGACGCGTAGTTATTGGTGAGCTTTTTGGAGCCAAATGTGAAGGAAGAGGTTTATTTGGTGATGGTTTAGGAGAAACTTTAGGTTTAGAAAGAGGATATACTATTTCTACCTTAGGGATTGATTGTGGGGATTGTGGATTTCCTAAGGCATTCTTTGGTAATGTTGGGATCTTAGATAAGGAGGGTGAAATTTCAAATGAAGTTGCACATGTGAAGAAAAACAAAGTTGCAAAGATGGAAAAATTGTAAATTTTTCCATTTTTGCTTTACTATAAAGTTTATTATAATGGTTAATATTGCACTGTTATGACTTCTGTGTCATACTTATAGGTGGACTAAGCAAGAAGTAGGTGTCGACTAAGTCTAGATTAAACTCCCTTGGGATTTAATGAAGTTATTAATTAACTTTACCGTTCATTAAGAAATGTACAATCATAAATGTTTAAAGAGTCTTTAGCGATGAAATAAGTTACAAATGGACACCAATAATTCATTACATAATACTCCCTCTGTTCCAATTTATATGATGTACTTTGACGAGATACGAAGTTTAAAAAAAGAAAGACTTTTGAAAGTTGTGATTTAAAATAAGTCATAGATGTTTGTGTAGCTATAAATCATAAAACGGAAATTTTAAAGTTAAATTGTTACTAAATATAGAAATGTCATTCTTTCTTTGTTTGACTGACTAAAAAGGAAATTGTATCATGTAGAAACGTGGCATTGTTTATATCTTCCCATCATAATATCCCACAAGTTACGTCATGCGCTTGTGTCCTGCTAGGCATACGTTTGAATCGTGCAATTAATCTAAGAAAATTGAACTTGAAGAAAAGGTTCAATACATAAATAAAAAGATCACTCATTATCCAACAAAACATATCTATAAAACACTTTTTTGTAATCTCTAAGTCTTGGATTATCCAACACATAAATAAGTAAAACAGGGATTAACAGCTTGTTCCTCTTCAATACTACAAAAAAGTTTACCCTGGGAATGAGTGTCTTAGTCTTTCTCTTCCAGTATGTGAAGAGAAATGCAAGGTAAAAGTACGTAAGAGATAGAATGAAGCTTTGTATTCAAGGCTTTTGTTCCCTTTTGGGGGAAGGCAATGGTTGCCTACACAACAACGTCTACACGTTCGAACTCAATCAAGGACATGTTAATATCTTGCTCCACCGAGAAACTGGCTGGTGCACCAACTTCAATACGTCCAAATCTATCAACAGCAAGTCTCATCGATCCTTTGAACATGTCAACTTTAGCTTTTGTCAGGACTAGTGTTGAACCTTCTTGAATTAAATCCACTACACAAAAGACAATTAAAATTTAAGGCGTCTTCAATGAATAATTAAACCAAATCTTGAATTCTATGCGAGGAAGTGGGAGTAAGACATGTCCCTAGTCATCTGCTTAAAGTAAAAAGATCAAAAAAATGTCAAAACAAATCACAGAACTCAAGCAATGGACAAGCACAACAAGAGAATAGTTGAAAATCCTTGTAAATAAAGCATATAAAGATATCAAACAACAAACATTAAAGGCAATTAGATAGAGCAAGATCGGAAGTCAACAATGTTAGACTTACCCTATCTCCTTCCAGTTCTTTTCTGGCTAAATTTTAGGGATTTATCAGTTCAAGTCATTTGCTGTAGTTAAAATTCAATCGATTAAGTTTCCTTGTCCTTTATCATTTTCTTTTCATTTCATTTTACTGTGAATTGGTAAAGCCAGGCTGGGTTTTTGAAATTAAAGAACTTAATCATGTTCATGTCACCTTGATGCTTAGGCAAGCATCTCGACGTCATATATGTAACGATAAGAGATTTCTCTGAGATCCATGATGAATCTGGTAATTTTGATAGCATTTATTGAAGCTCTTAAACATGACTAGCAGCCAGAATTATGGTAATAGACTAATAAGAGGAAGATTACAGTTAGAGAGGTAGGAATATTGAAGTATATAAGAGATTTCAGTAGCTCATACTTATGTGACTTGTCTGTTACTTAGGTTTAGGGTAGTTGTCCTTTCTGTTTCTTCAGTACAACACTGTCTAGAAACCACTCTCCCAATACCAAATTTGACAGAAAGCTGAGGTCAAATCAACTGAATTTTTTTAATAACCATGGTGTCCGGGACAATTTGCTCGCACCTCGACTAATTCCAAAGACCTTCCACAACACAAGAACAAGTCATTCTCCGTCAGCGTCAAGGCTGGGACAAATGGGAAGAAAGCACCTAATGTTTTTGCCTCTGCTAGGATTTTGAACTTAGCTACACATATTGGAGCGGGGTGGATGAAATGGAAGCTCGGAACCGGTATCTTGTGTGATAAGAATGTGTCACCAAGCATAAAAGGTAAAGTTTAAAGTGGTAGTTAGACCAACTATGTTGTATGGCGGAGTGTTAGTCGGTGAAGAACTCGCACATCAAAAAGATGAGAGTAGCAGAAATGAGGATGTTGAGATGGATGTATGAGTATACTAGGAGAGATAGGATCAGTAACGAAACTATTCAGCACAAGGTGGGAGTAGCCTTGGTGGTGGACAAGATAAAGGAGACGAGGCCGAGATGGTAGGGGTAAGGCTCTGCATACACACCACCCTGCCCAGATCCCACTTATGGGATTACCTTGGGTATGTTGTTGTTGGGATTTTGAGCTTAATACCTCAGGATTCTCAACCCACTTCATTGACCACTAGACACACGTTTGGGTGCAACTAAAAATTCTAATCCATGTTGATACTAAAAAAACTTTAGATTTAGAACCTCGAAATTTATAACAAAGATTAAAATCTGTTTTAAGGAAGTAAGGAACAGTCGACATTCGCTATTAAATCAGAGAAAGCCAATGCCGAAGCATGTAACTACCAAAACACTCCAACAAGCATCTATATTAAAACCTAAGTTTCTGGACACTGTATGTATCCACTCATTCACTCTCTTCCTATTACTCTCTCTTTGAGTTTGGCACAGATCTATAAGCTTGTAAAGCACCATATTCCCCTTCCATACCTCCCCTATTCCAGGCATGATAGTGCTTAGGTATTGCGAATTAATTAGGTAAACATCCTGGAGCTAAGAAAGCACTTTTTTTAATACAGTAAAGCAACCATTGAGCTGTTTGGAATTTAAATCTCATCGGATAAGGATGAAAGATCATAATAACTTATGTCATCCACCATGGTTAAAGG